TCTAAAATTTACCAGGTCATAACACTTTTACAATAAAAAAAAAGGAAAGAAATTTTTATTTAATAACTATTTATTAAATTATATTCATAATTTACTCTAAAATTTACCAGGTCATAACACTTTTACAATTAAAAAATATTATATCACCTACTTTATTTCTATGTAATACTCAATATTAATAGAAATTGAATTTCTTAATAGAGAATTTCACCACATTAGCATTTAATTGACAGAAGGGCTAAATTGGTACAAAAATTGAAGTTTAAGGATGTTTTTAGTATTTGTTGAAGTTTGAGGGTAGATTTGGTTAAAAAATGAAAGTTGAGGGACCAAACCGGGTATTTAACCTAGTTTAAACGAATAAACGCTATTACGTGATTCTACGTGGCAGGATCAAGAAGCGTCAAGTCTCAGCGAACTTCCCTATATAAGCCACCCTCCCCTAATCGCACGGCCCGCGACTTAAGAAAACATAACCGCCATTCCTGAACGTTTCTGCGTCCTTTCCTTCTTCCTCCAAGAAGAGGCATTCCCTCTCTGGAATGCGCTTCTTCTGAGTTCGGTTTTTAGCGTTTCGCTAGCTCTAGATTAATTTCTCTTTACACAAGCTCGAGAAGAGTTTCGCGTCGGTGGCTAGGGAGTTACTGGTGAGTTTCTCGGTGGAGTTTTTTGCCCCTTTTTTTTTTTTTTTTGGAGTAATTTTAGGTTTTCGTCCATTTCTGTGTGATTTGAGCTCTGATTCCGGTGGAGGAAATGGTATAATTCGGAGATCTTAAGTTGATTTTAGGTTCCTGATGTTAGAGATAGAATTTAGTAGATTTTTACATGGATTTCCATGGATGATTGCTTTATGAGAACTTATGACGGTTTTTTTGAGCTGTTCTTTCTCCCCTGAGGAAACTGAACCGTCGAAATCTGGTAACTTCCTGGTCGGCAATGTCTCCACGAATTCTGGGGAAAATCTGTAACCGATCTTACTGATTTGTTTGATACGACTCTTGTTGAAGAAGATAAAGAGTCTAAAACGAAATCAACTTCAAATCAAAGATCAAAAGCATCCACTCAAACAAATCTTCATAAATTTCCAAAAAAATTGGTTTGTTTGGTTTCGAATTCTATCTTTTCTTCCTTTCTTTCGCCGTCATACTGGACTTGTTTGATCTACTTTTTTCATGAATCAGGCCAAATCGAAACTTTTCTTACTCACCGTCGCTAGCTTTTTTTTGCCCTGTTCCTAGGTATCTTTTTTATTCGCAGCGTTCAGCTAACCTTTTTTTAGCTTTTTAAAGGCGAAGAAAGGAAATTAATTTTCAAAGGAGAAATTTCATTTTTCTTAAGGGAAAAAACTTTTTCGGTTTTTCAATTCCTTTCACATCTCTTCTTTCCACTTTCGTTGTCTTTTGACGATTAAAATTTTTTTTTTTACATAAAAACATTTTCTTTACCTCCTGGGCTGCATAAATTTAATTTTTTAAAATAATTTCTAACTAAAAAAATAGTTTAAGTATTAAAATTATTAAGTATTTTTAATAATTTAATAATCTTTTTTGGTTTTTAATAAACTTTAATAATTTTATTTTTCAAGCAAAAATCTTTAATAATTTTATTTTTTAAGGAAAAAACCCTTTTTGATTTTTAATATTAATAAACTTTAATAATTTTATTTTTTTAAGGAAAAAACTTTTTACCGTTTTTCAATTGCTTCCACATTTCTTCATCCCATTTTTGGTTGTCTTTCGATGAACTTTTTTTAAAAAAATTTTACATAGAAAAATGTTTTCTTTATTTTTTGAGTTGCGGAAAATAAAAGAGAATAAGTAGATTTTTGGAACAGGGCCCTCATAAAGTTAACAGAAAAAAAGAAAAAAAGGAAAAAAAAAGGGGAACTTTAGACCGCAGCCTCCAACCATGTTAAAAGAGAAGTCAAGGCAATTCTTACTCTTTTTTCCCTTCTCTTTTTTTGGTACACTTTTTTCCCTTCTCTTAATTAAGAGAAAAGTATATTTTAAAATATTTTAATATTAAAAATATTAATTTATTTTTATAAAATTACATAAATTTTTTTAATAAATTTTTTATGTTAGATGGTGTTTAAATCTTTTTTATTACATTCTTTATTTCACATCATTAATGTCTTAAGAGGGAGTATTAAAATTAAGAAAAGTAATAAATTCCTATTAATTTAAAGTATTAATTTGTCATTTTATAATTTATTTTTTATTTTTTATTTTAATAAAAGAGATAATAGATGTTTGATGGTAAAATAAGGAGATAGTGAATTAATATCATATTGAATACTGAAAGGGACAGATAAAATGAAACAAAAAAAATCTTCTAAAACATCAAATAGAGTTGGACAGAGGGAGTATTACTTTCGTGTCGTTCTTACTCTCCGCTCTCCGCTCGCAATTAAATAGTCAGTCCAAACAACTTGAATAAAAAAAGAGGGCCAATTCCCATTTCTTCCGGGTCAATAACATAATTCCTCATTTAATTTTCATTTCTTCCGGATTAATTGTTCATTATCTTAATTCTTTGATTATTTAATTTAACCGTAGCTTCTTTTGTAGTATAAAATTGTTCTGTGCTCTGTACGTCTTTGATGTGTTTTTTGGATATTAATGGTGAATTTCATTGATATTGCAGTTATCGGGGGGTGATTAACAATGACGGTCACATCCAAAATCTCCATTAATGACGGGAACCTTCTTGTTCATGGGAAGACCATCCTGACTGGGGTTCCAGATAACATTGTCCTGACTCCAGGTTCAGGTGTGGGGCTTGTTTCTGGTGCTTTCATTGGTGCCACTGCTTCAGATAGCAAGAGCCTTCATGTCTTCCCTGTGGGTGTGTTACAGTAAGTACTAACCCCCTTTACCCTTCTTGTATTTTCTTCTGTTTCTCGAGCTCCAGAGGAATCGATGGTTATTAAACATGTATGTTTTGCTTTTATGGAGGGGTCTTCGATTCATGTGTTTGTTCCGGTTCAAGCTATGGTGGATGACACATAGAATGGGAACATGTGGGAGTGATGTTCCTTTGGAGACACAATTCATGCTTGTGGAGAGCAAGGATGATGCTGAAGGAGGTGATGAAGATAATGCCCCAACCATCTACACTGTCTTCCTTCCTCTCCTTGAAGGCCAGTTCCGTGCTGTCCTGCAAGGCAATGAAAGGAATGAGTTAGAGATATGCCTTGAGAGTGGTGAGTAGTTTATGGCAATCAAAAAGCATATGCTCCTGGTAGCTAGGGCTATATCTTCAGTTAATTCAGTCCCATCCTGTTGGCAATTATCAAAGAAAGAAGATTAACCATAGGAGTAGATGGGGTGAAGCTCTTGACAATTCAAGCAGTTGATACCATGAATGACAACCATTCAAATGAATCAAATTAATGCAGTTTATAGCATGTCAGAAGAAAGTAGATAGAAAGGATCGAGTTCAATAGCACCGAAACAACATTTTTTGTGGTTTTGCAGGAGATAACGCTGTTGAAACAAACCAAGGGCTTTACCTTGTTTACATGCATGCCGGTACCAATCCTTTTGAAGTTATCAATCAGGCTGTAAAGTAAGTTCATAACTTCAATCTTTTCAAATATCCTCTCTTTGTTTTCATTGTAATTGAAATCCCTGAAAAAGGTTGTAGTCTATACTATTTGTTGCAAGTCAGATAACAATTACTTTTCAACAATATGATCTTTTTTTCCTGGAAAACTCTTTGTTTCTCATGGTTTGTAATGACTTTAATGAGCGCCTTTGGTGAATCAGGGCATTAGAGAAACACATGCAAACCTTCCTTCATAGAGAGAAGAAGAAGGTAAGGATTAGTGCATTCTTCTGAACTGCTAGCATATACAGCAAGCATGTTGAAAAGTTTCCATCTAACATTGTTATGTTGATTGTATATAGTTTCCTTCTTTTCTTGATTGGTTTGGCTGGTGCACTTGGGATGCTTTTTACACTGATGTCACTGCTGAAGGGGTTGAAGAAGGACTTAAAAGGTAATTTAGAACTTATCTGACCAAGTTAGCTAGTCCTAACTTTTGTAATGTAATTAACTTCAGTAATTGTCATGAGAGAATTGTAACTGAATTACTTTTCCCTATTATTGCAGTCTATCAGAGGGAGGAACTCCTCCACGATTTCTCATAATTGATGATGGTTGGCAGCAGATTGAGAAGAAGCCAAAAGAAAGTGACAGTGTTGTACAAGAAGGAGCTCAGTAAGATCTCTCTCTTTCTCTATGACATGGATTTGAAATGTTTGGCATGTCATTAGCTTGACCTAGATAATAAAACCTTCTCCATATTTATGGTAATCCTAATTTGGTGTTAGAAGTTTAGTTTGGGACCACTATGAAGTGCCATTCATAATTGACTAAACTGTCATAGGATTTTTGCACATCTATGGTAAATAATGCTTTGCTTTAACTTCTTAGCAACAAGACTTTCTCTTGTCGATGGATCTGGTTATTTGGAAAACTGACGTTTAGCAATAGTGCTAGCATAGCCTTCACAAACAATGTTTAGAATTAAAAACTGGACAGTGAGAGGTGTCTGTGCTTTGTTAATACACTTGAGGCTTGTGGATCACTATAGGGACCAAGCTACCTCTATCACCTAAACTTGAGGGAGGTATTAAATTTCTTAACATTGAGTTTTTAATGAATGATATGATTTAGTGCACCTTGACAGTCAGTGTGGGATTGAACAATTGGACTTAATTAATGGGAGCTAAAGCGGATTTGCTGGTCACTGCTTATGGTCAGACTTCTGATTGTCATTTCACCCTATGTTCTCACCCAGAATAGTTTGAACTATTGTATAACTGTTCTTCGCAAGCACTGTTTCTTTTCCTTTTTCTTTTCTTTTTTTTTTTTTTTTTTTTATGTTGTTCCAAAAGTAGGGTACTGATTTGCTGGCAAATTATGTCTTGTACTTGTAGGTTTGCTAGTAGGTTGACAGGAATCAAAGAGAATGAA